TTACAACAAAGAATTGAAAATAATATTATATTTTATGGACAATTATGAGCTTTGTGTCTTAATAGCCATACCAATGAATATGGCATTATAACACAAGATATACGGTGTATACGAAAACTATTTCGGTGATTAAAGTCGTCATACCATTTCGGGAATGTGGCTGCGATCTTAATATAACTCTAGATTATCTTATCTGATGCACATGCGATTTACGATACATAAATGAATGAATCTAGAAAAACAATAAATTGTCCCTCTATGATTGTTCTTTTCGCTCGGGAATGTGACAAAAAAACTGGCGCCAGTTTTAAAATAACGCAGCACTTGTATAATTTCTTGATTCATTGGATATTTTACTTTTTTTAATTATACTGGATGGCAAAACAAGGGAACCACATTTTGTGTCATTGTTTTTCTCCACAAATTTTTATGTTCCTTTAATGGGAAGATTTATTTCTGAATATCTATGTCATCCCATGTAAGGTATGTTTTCTATGTCGTGTAATCTGTTGAAATGAGACTTGAATTATTATCCCACGAATGGCAATTAGTGTGGGAAAGAAAGAGATTCTGTAAAAAGGCGAAATGTTTCCTTTTGTATTTAGCATATAGTAACGGAACACTTCTATACTATGATACACCCATCCATACAAAAAGACTTTTGAAAATTAATTAAATGAACATTTTTTCAAGTGATTTGTTTCGCTTGTGAAATTGTTACTCGCGGTATGAGATGAGAAATGAAAAAAGGAGGTTTTATGGTGAGTGACCTGATGATGAATCAATGACCTGATCACAGCAGGGAAGAAAAAAGAAACAAGCGCGCATTTTTAATTTTAATTATCAGCTAATGAATCATTTATTCATTCATTCATTCATTCATAATAAAAGGTGCGTATTGCGTATCAGAATCATGTCATATTTTCTAGAATTTACTCTAATATGCTTATTTCAGTGAATATTGTTTGCATAAAATATAACGGAATGCATTCACCCCAACGAACACAGTTTCTCTCTATTCATTTCTTCATAATCCAGTTGATAAAACAAATCATTTTGTGCATAATATATGTCTTAATTATGTATGTATTTGTCTTAAAATGTCTTAAGCATCACATCCGTAAATAAAAGAATCAAAATATGCAACAGCGTGTTGCAGATTTATTATCGTTACATTAATGATTAGAGCGAGAAAAAAAATCAATATTGTTACAAATCAACCAGTAGAGAGACATATTCAATGAAATAATATTTACATCGGGTTAATAATAATCATTTCGCACGATGATTGTCTGCTGTGGTGTTACCGAATGGCCACTAATATACATTGTTCTTACCAAATAATATTACATCATATTGTGGGGTAAAAGATAAGATAATCGAGACAACCTTAGATAATAATAACAATAGAGAAGAACTTACTAATATTTCTTCGGTGATTTAAATATACCTTTTGACTAAAAACAATATAAAAAAAATATGATACAAATGATACAACTACGCAAAATAAATAAATAAATAATGACTCACTCTCTCATGCATACGCATGCATGCATATATTCATCATAAGAAAAAAGGTGGTTTCTTCATTATGCATAGAAAATATCTAATATTACCTAGGTCAAGCAAATATTTAATTTTTTTTGGGCTTTCAGATACAATCCTTGATTGTACAATCATGATTTCATGTTTAACGAATCATTTTCAACTTAACACGCATTCTTCTTGCTTTATTGGTTTTCAGTCTTACACGCAATAATTATAAAGAATCAATTTTGGTATCGTTGAGAATATCCATAATATTACAGCATATAATCATAAGACACTTATGCAGAAGAAAAAGTTTATGTAATTTTTGATTAAGTCTAAATTATTTTACACCTATAATATCAACCTCCTTATCATGACACCATAAATTTCAGTCACTGTTGTAGAGAGGCGAATTTATATAAACCATCTTGTTTTTAATACAGTATAAAAAAATTATCAAAAATGCCTCTCCGTTACTTTATTATAATAATTAATTTTCGACCCTAAGATTCGTATTATAGAAAACTAGCCACGCCTTATTCGTTCAATTATTGTTGGCGATTGATGAAAGAGTGGTCTAATTATATTCCTTTCTATATTGCGTTTTGTGTATGTGGAAGTGCATATGACTGAGTTCTCCCCCACACTTTTTCTTTTTCCTTATTTAGGTTTTTTTTTTTGCAATAATTTATATTAGATCGTCCATTATTAACTGGTTAAACTCTCTTATAAATTAATAACGAAAACCTGTTTTGAGACAATTCTCACATCTGTGGGACAAATTTTAAAGGCTAGTAGTTTTTCATATTGTATCTACATTCTCGGACAGGGGCACTTTTCTCTCCAAGACGTTTATACATGTATTTCACGCTCTAAATTCGATTACAACAGAGTATCATAATTTTTTCAACTCCCGCTGATTCGTTAATCTTTTGTAAGTGAACAAGTTGAATTCTAAAATTGTGAATAAAAGAAATTCGTATGACGACAAAAAAATCATAAATTTTTGCTCAATTTTCATGCTAAAATTAATGATGCGCATCTACATCGGGGTTCACAAAATTTATTTATTTGTTTTTTGTGTACCCATCGGATTTGCCAGTACAATAATAACAGAAACAATAAAACCCTTTAGTTTATGACCATGAACATAAACACAAAGACAATTTGAGAATAGGGTGGGCTCTTTTTTAGTATAATTTTATCCTGAATTAAGGCTTTTACATAAACTTTCATGCATTCATCGAATATTGTATGTAATATTGATTTATTTCAAGAAGGAAATAGCGTATTCATAAAATGAAACGTGCGAACGAGGAAACATCCATGAGAAAAATTTATCAAAATCTGTACTCGCAATGAAAACAGTAAAGACCGCAATTCAAAATAAGGACAAAAGACAAACCCTGTTATTTCTTCTTTTGGAGATTTTGCGTCGTCATTTTCATCCTTTAGTCATATGCAATATGCTATTGTCATGCATTCGCTGCTGCTTTATTTACTTTGCACATTAGTTAGATATTAACTCAAGCATTGACGGTTTATCTGGCTTATTCCCCTTTAATCATTTACAATTAAATTCCCAATTATGTGCATTACCGTTACATCAATTTATTCGCTACCACTTGTGTTATTGGCGGATAGAACGATAATTCGTGCTTAGGTTAACAACCAACGAATTAGAATTACCAGTCGATGTATCAATGTGACTAAAAGTCATCAATAAAGTTTTCAATGGGTCTTTGTTTCATATTGAGTGAGTATGATGACAGTGATCACGAGATCTTCTGTGTATTTGTGGGGGAACGTTTTGTGTTTGTGTCTCGCTTTTTCTGTTGTGTTATTCTTTGTTCCCGTCTAAGGGATTTTACTTTGTTTGTATGGTGAATAAATATACACCTGGATTGTATATTTACATTACAATGCAAAAATTAGTAAAATTGTTTGTTAATTAATCTTTCTTTCATATTATTGCTACGGAATATTTTCTTTAATTACCATATCTCCTGTATGTAACTAAATCAAAAAATCTAATAAAAAACAATCTAATATTACCATATCTATGCATCGTCCAATTATTGCCATATCTTTTCTGCAAATAAATCAAATCTATTAAAAAAATTTAATGCATCCTAACATTATTACCATATCTTTTCTTGTATGTAGCTAAATCAAATCACCAACTCTTTTTATTTCTGAATATATCGCTGCTGAATGTAATAATAATTATGCATCGTCCATTATTACCATATCTTTTCTGCAAATAAATCAAATCTATTAAAAAAATTTAATGCACCGTAACATTATTACCATATCTTTTCTTGAATCAAAACTAATTTAATGTTACCGACTCTGAAATGTATTGTTGCTGAGTGTAATAATAATTATGCATCGTCCATTAATAAGAAAAAAAATGTTTTTGTTTATATTAAGCCCCAAGGCACATCAGAGTAAATATTGTCCCGTTACAATTCAATCTCGGTAATTAGTATTATCGTTATTAAAATAAAAAGGTTGAAGTCATGATATTTTGGCTTATTTGGCTTCAATTAAAGTGTCATGCCGTGTGACTATTTTAAGCTTTCATCACACCCTATTCATCCGAGTTTTTATTAACCTTATTGTAAACTTTCATATTCCCTTATTTATATTTACTATAAAATTATTATATGTGTCATCTATATACAGTTAGAATATTTTATATATATACATACATATATATGCGTGTTTGTGTGTGTGTGTGTGTGTATATATATATATATATATATATATATATATATGCAATAATCTCATATATTCTAAGAGAATATATAAAGAGACGTCCCTTCCCCCATCTTTTCTCAACAAAAAAATCAAAAATAAATTTAACAAATACAAAATCTAGCTATATAAAGTATAAAATTGCACGTAAATTTATTCGATAAAAGCAATAACGATTATTTTTGCTTTTGATCTTTAGAACTTATTATAATCAAATTTTAAAACACATTAAAATGTCTTCCTTATTCTTAAACTACACACACCAACTTGCCTTTTACAACAAACAAAACAATAATCAACAACAACAACAACAACAACAACAACAACAACAACAACAACAACAACAACAACAGCAACAACAACAGCAACAGCAACAACAACAGCAACAGCAACAACAACAGCAACAGCAACAACAACAACAACAGCAACAACAACAACAACAACAACAACAAGAATGTTCTGTTGTTAAATCAACATCAAACGGTGACAATGTCAACAATAATAAAATACCCCATCTTCCACCAGAAATCATTCGCGATATTTTCTTTTTCCTTAAAGGCGACAAAAAAACGTTATCGGCATGCACCCTCGTAAATCAAACTTTCAATTTACACGCGACACCAATCTTGTATCAAACTGTAACATTCTCGTTCCCAAATACATTTGCTTTATTCGCAAATGCCATTTTCGGTGTATCCTACCGAACAACCATGATTAAGCATTTGGATTTATCAAGTTTCTCAACATTTGGTCTACAAAAGAGTCACTCTGAAACTCAGAAATCTGTCACTCCGCAAGCATTGATCAATATTTTGAGAGCAACTCCAATGCTCGAGGTGTTCTCGATTTCGGAATCCTTGGAATCGGCAATCACCATCGATGTCTTAAAGACATTGGTATTCGAGTGTAAGAATCTTAAAGCGCTCGATTTCTGTGGATGTTCGAGCAAACAATTCAACGAAGCAATGAAAGATCTCGCTAAATTACTTGGTCGTGTTCAAATCGTCCAATTTCAATCTTCTGCTGATTCCGATCTCGAATACGGGTTCCAACGATTGAAACCTGTTCTCCCACATATTAAACGTTTATCACTTCATGAATGCTTGACTCTCTCAGAACACGAAACAGTTCTTCCATTGCTCGCCCATATGCCAAATATTACCCATTTGGATTTAGGTGGCTGCTCAATTTCCGACTTAACACTTCTATTCCTGGAGACAGAAACAAACGCAAGCAACACACTCTTGGAACTTTCGCTGGCTAAATGTAAAAATATTACCTCGGACGGTATTGCACAATTCGTGAGTCAATGCAACCGATTGGAAAATCTGAATTTATACGGAGATGCAATGATCTCCGAATGGGACCTCGTCACAATTCTAAGTTCTCCTTTTGTCAAAAGTCTACGCTCTCTAGACATCGGCTTTTCACATATCACTCAACGTGTACTCAATGCGATAAAAGAGTGTTGTTCTTCCCTTAAGAATCTTGGTCTCGCCAACGCAGAGATCGCAACTCCAGCAAATCTTTCGACTTTTCTCACCTCAATGCCACAATTACAATACATTGATCTTAGTAACCTCCCATGTCTAGAACCGTTGAACACAAATGGACTGATCTCCAAACTACAAAAAATTCCGAACAATCAATTGCACACGATTGAGATGAGTAAATCATTGCTAAAGAAAATACAAGCGGTTAAAGGTTGGAAAATTGATCAGAATTATGGTCGTCGCTGGTATTATGCCAAAGAGACTCGGGTTGGAATTCCTCAGGCTGATCGAGTGCACAGTCGAAAATTGGATGTGGCTGGGACTGGCGAGCACGCAATGAGCAAAATCTATCAATATTACAGCTTTGGCGTTTAGTAGTAGTAACAGACGAATAAAAAAAAAAAATGAAATGAAACTGGCTTTCGTTAAAAAAAAAACCACAAAAAAAAGACAATCACAATCTTTGCAAATATTTTGTCAATATAATTCTTTTGTATATACAATCTAATAACAATTAATAATGGTTAATTACAACTAGCTAATTATTATAATTTAAATAACATAATATTACTTCTCCCTTCTCAAATTTATAATTTATAATAGACCGCATTTATCTATAATTATTAATCTTTTAATCTTGTAAATTTTTTTACTCTTAGGTTTTTCCTAGTTTTCTTTATTTTTTATGGGGGTTTGCTTCTATTAATATTGTAACAAAAAAAACGCGTATACAATGTTCTTCTATGTGTGCGTAATAAAAATACACTTGTTTACCATCCGTAATCATTGTTTATGCCTCGTGAAACCATTTATCTGGTTAACTAATTAATTTTTCCCACAAGAATCGAAGTCTGCTTCATAAAGGAAAATAACACTCCTTGATAAAAATTTTTGTCTGAAAATCGAAATTAACCACGCAGAATTTTGATTTTTTTCCAAAAGCAGAATAATAATTGTGAAAGACAAACATTCGCACATACAACCCGGTTTAATGGAGAATTTTCTATTAAACTTTCGCTTGATATAATGAGGCTAGATATAATTTATAGTGAAAGATTTTTTCCTTACCCGATCTTCACTGTAACGAGAATGAGTTGTACTTAAAGAAGTAGAGAAATAACCAAGATGCTTATATTTAAAAATCGAGAACTTTACCGTATACCGCTGCCTAATTTTTGATTAATACCCGGGTATGACCTATATCAATTTATATCTAAATATAGTACCCAGGTACTGCATGCAGTGTCCTATAGATGTTGTTACATACCAATATGAAAAAACCTTCCAATTTTGGTGTTTTCTTTATTCATCACAACGCAGTAAAGATTTTCTATTTTTTTAAATTCTTTTTTTGGTTAATTTTGCATATTGGTGTGTGCAATTTTTCATTCAACGAAAATATGGGTTTCATCGACCATCCGAAACTGATCGACCGATTCATCATGCAACAGTGCTGGATTCATGCATGCTATTATAAAAATCCAATATAAAACCCCACAAAAGTTTATGCATCTGAGTTCCACACAGTGATTTTAGGGTTCAGGTAAAACGTTTCTGATAATGAGATTTTTGGAATAACAAACCTAGGTATAATGATAACATACCAGATTGAATTCACCAATTTTCGGATATCGAGTATAAAATTAGCAAGATCTTTTGATATGAATAAACTTTTTTTTAGATGCACATGCATTTTGTTCATAATAAGCCCAAAACACAAAGTACATACCCACTTTTACTCATAATAAGCTTAGAGACACAACATTAGTGAATCATTTTTTTCCCGTAATTAGAAAGTTCTCGCCTTCGGGTTTAGTCATTATTTATTATATTATCAAGGAATCGCCGTGTTAGGGGTTTTTTTTGTTGCAATGGAATAAATCATAAAATGACGTAATGAATAAGTGAAAAACATGATGTGCTAAAGTTTGTTATGTATGCGTGCAAGTTTCGCATATGACTTATTTGTGATCTTAACTATCATAATTATTGCATAACTTTGCTCTTCATAGTGTATCAAAAAAAGATTAATTAGTAAAAAAATTCACTAAATCGAAAATTTATTAATAAGTTGTGTGGATTTTATTAAAGGCAGTTTGGATATTATATTATAAAGACTGTGTATTCACAAATCTCGGTTAAACTTAAAGCTCACACCTTCCTTTTTAGTAAGTAATAATATGATTCACAATTATCAGACTTCTCTAAATGCAACCTCCTAAATGCACACACTATTATTTACCATCCATATGTCACGCTCTGATTTAGTTCCAAGCATTTTTGTCTCCGTCAATGCAATTTTTCTCTAAATCGCGTTATATCCGATTTTTTCTGTCTCCCGACAGCGTAGTTTGTAAACTAATCATTCATGTGAAAATCTTGTGGTGCATTACCTTAAGACATCAAATGCTGATACAACCCTAGCAATGGCGAAAAATAAACCAATCGCAATATATCGATATGAATAACATTCCGGTTTGAATTAAGGTTAGGATTGGGTCGAAGTTAAGTTATTTCACAATTTTCCGTTACACATTGATCTTACGATTAAAAATGATTTATCAACCTGAACCGATATCCCGCTAAAATATGCACTTTTGCGGGTCACGTGGTTTCCTTTTTTTCCAACTAATAAATTAATTAAGAAATTGAATATTATTTCTATTTCAAATTAACGAATATCGACTCTTAATTAAAGATAAAATTTATATATTATACATACAGTGGTACCGGAAATTATTTGGAAAATTATTACGCGATAAAAATCATCTAATGCGGTGCGACCACAAGAGCAAATAAAAATTTAACGCGCGTGTAAACAGACTTCGTGCATTTCGGGAAACACATTGTTTTTTTTAACCACCTTTTTTCTTATATTTCTCACCAGC